CGTCTCCACCAGCTCCAGTGGTTGAAGACTCCTCCAAGAAAAAATTCAGGAGCTCATCGCTAATGGATAGATGGGACTGCTGCTGAAATTGTTGTAGTGACGTGAGACGGAGGAGTGTCTCTAGGAGGGACAGAGAAGTACGGATGTTATTGAAATGAGGGTTTGAGACTGTAGTTGTAGCCATATGCTGAGAAGAGGGCGACTGTCCTAAAGCTCCATGTCTAGACGGTGTTGCATCCGAATCAAGAGAAAGTTTCGCCATAAGCTCTGGATCGATGGATCCCGCCTTGGCTGAGGATCTGGGGTTCTCGTCATCGAATTCTGAGTCTGATTCGTCATCTTCATTGTAAACCTCGAACGCGATCCACTCAGGGTCAAGGTCTCTGGGAAGGCGCCATTCTTCTGGTATTGAGCTCTCGTGAAAGTTGGGATAAGTGGATGGAGCGCCTGCCCCATTTAACTGGGCATCCAGCTGTGCCTGAACCTCATCTACTTCCTCCTCGTCTTGATCAGAGTCTTCATTTGAATAACCGAATGCCTCCTCCCTTTCGACCATACGCCGTGGAGGTATAGCATTTATATCTCTCTTCAGGAGTATTACCGGATTGTTAACCTCGCCATCGGGGCTGATATTCAGAATTTTCCCAGTGTCGGCATAGAAGATCTTCGAGATCTGGTGTATTGGAAGAATCTCGCGCACACCAGCGGACACGACACCTTCAAAAGTCTGAGGCTGAAGCTCATCATCTTCAAAAGTATGGACCCTTCCATCATCTAAATCCTCTATAATTAGGAGTTGGTAAGCATACTCATCTACCCTTGCTTCGGCGGCGATTTGCGTGCGCGGTAGCTGTGTTTGGGGATTGACAGCAAGGTCCATTGGCACTCGTCGAAGTTTCAAACGTGCTTTATGCATGACCTCTTTCCACGTTGTTTCACGAATGCCGTCTTCGTCGTGGGGTCGGAGATGACTTGCGAAAAGCATGTACATTGATAGAGTAAAAGTAGGACCAATCTGGACCGCTTGAGAAGGGGACATTGAGTACTGGGTATCACCAGCGGTAAGAAATGTACTGGCCTGCAGCAACCGGGATGGTGATATAGTCGCTGGGAGATTAGTTGATAATTTGGCTCCGGAGGTAGTGATGGCAAGATTCATAAGCGGCACTGCATCCTCGATTCGCACTAGAAGTCTCCTGATGTCCTTCATTATGGACTTGATCTCTTCATCATTTTGAGAGCGACTTCTTGAGGACTGCCCCTCCTTTCGAATTATTTCTTCAGACGCAGCAGCATTCGCCAATCGCTGGCCCAAGGCCTGAATATCCCACCGTAAAGATTGTGTGAGAGAAACTGCGGACTCAAGGGACGTGTTTCCTCGTGCAGCACTAGGCAGAGTCAGAACTTAACCCAAATTCAAATAAGTCTGGATTACCTACATTAGCTCGATCATGTCAATAGCAGGTGAAATAACCTGTCCCTCGCATCAGCAAGTGTGTTAGGATCAGCTGAAATCATACATCCAGAGTACTTTACCTGGATCTTGCTTTCCAGCCGCTGTTGTAGTACAAGGAGCTCTTCGCGTTCTTCGACATTCTCGACATTCTACCATCGAAAGGTCAGTTTGTCCGAATACTTGAACACCTAGCTAGCGACCAGTATGGCCATTATCGCTTACTTTAAGCAGCCGCGACGACTGGCGAATAGCATATTTGGCTGTTATGGCGATTCCGGAGCTAAAATATCAGATAGATTAGTCTATAAGACAGACGTTGTCATCTCAAGGCAGTGTACCTACCGAATGGCATAGTTCATAGCCTGATGAGTGAGCTACCAAAGATGGAATCTGGATTAGTTTCAGGCATCGCACACAAGATGTGTAAAGTCATAAGAGCATACTCTGGTCAAGAATGCATCCATATTGCAACCACAAAGCCGTATGGCGCCTAGCTTCAATTAATGTTTCCTTTATGTCTTTCTGCATCCGTTAGGCAACCCAATCTCAGATTGATTGCCAATATCAAAATGTATTGTATGTGGCGGACAACGTTCGAGGGGTTTGCGTTGCTTATCGATAACAGACTCTGTGATTGACAACCTGTAAGAGAAGATCATGCGCGAGCTGTACGCCACCAAAATCTACGCTCTTAGCGATTCCTCCCAGAATAGGACGCTACTGAGTAATATTCAATATCATCGCGAAACAGCTAGAGTACTCCGTATGGCCAAGGCATATCGTTTACAATCCCTCCAAGCAAACAATGCAAAAGTCCCCTGATTGGGCGAAGGCGGGGAAGAGCCCGTTTTATCGCTGAGTCAGCGGCTGCAAAATCGACGCTTTCCAAAGGCCCCTCACTATCTAAACTACTCTTCACTCGTCAACTTTTAGATCCACCTCCAGACTATCTCTTCTTTCTTTTTGATAGAGACGTGTTTGGTTGGTTCGCCTTGTTTTCTGCTCTTCAAATTTAAACATGGCCGGCCAAACTCCGGAGTCCTGGGAGGATGAACTCTCCCAGCAGACTGAGGGCGTCAACTTGAACGCACAGTCCCGACCACAAGCCCAAGCTCCCTCTTTCCGTCCTGGAGTGGCCTCTTTTCAACCAGGAGCCGCTTCTTTCGTGCCCGGCCAGTCTTTCCAAGGGTACGGCGGCTTCCCACAGTACGGCCAGTATGGCCAGCAAGGCTATGGCGGTTACCAATATGGTCAACAGCAGCAGGCCTATGGTCAGTATGGAGCTTATGCTCAGCAGCCTGGTGGCTACAACCAATCTTACAACCAGCAATACGGCGGTTACCAGCAACCACAGCAACAGCAACAATTTGCTCAACAGCCACCCCAAGCTACGCAGCAGCCCAAGGCTGTTGAATCCCAGCCTGCCCAATCAGCGCCCAAGCCTGCCGCCGCCGCCGCTCCTAAGGCTAAGGTTCTGTCTATCGGTGGCGCTAGCGACTCTCCTGCTGCCCCTAAGACCAAGGTTCTTTCGATCGGTACACCCTCTCCTGCTCCTGCGTCGAAAACACCATCTTCGGGATCTGCGACTCCCGGAGACTCCAAGGGACCCGATGCTGCTCAGGCAGCCGCCAAGGTGACGGCTACTAAGGCTATTGAGAAGACGGAGAAGAAGGCAGAACAGAAGGCTGCCGCCAGCGGCAAATCATCTCCTGCTCCTGCGTCGGGTCGCTCTAGCCCCGGAAGAGCCAGCCCTTCCCGAGCTGAAGTTGCTAAGGCTACCCGTGCTGCAGATGCCGTTGCCAAGGAGCAACAAGCCGATGTTGACGAAGCTACGTTGAAGGAAATTTACGGTGAGAAGAAGGAGCACGTGAACATCGTGTTCATCGGACACGTTGATGCCGGAAAGTCTACTCTGGGTGGATCCATCCTGTACGTCACTGGAATGGTGGATGAGCGAACTTTGGATAAGTATAAGAGAGATGCCAAGGAAGCCGGTCGTGAGACTTGGTATCTTTCCTGGGCTTTGGATTTGACGAACGAAGAGCGAGCCAAGGGAAAGACGGTCGAGGTTGGCCGTGCTCACTTCAAGCTTGATGTGGAGTCGCCTGACGGACCTGTTGAGAGACACTTCTCCATTCTCGATGCTCCTGGTCACAAAGCATACGTTCACCACATGATTGGCGGTGCTTCACAAGCTGATGTTGGTGTTCTGGTTATCTCCGCACGAAAGGGTGAATACGAAACTGGATTCGAAAAGGGTGGCCAGACTCGTGAACACGCTTTGTTGGCGAGAAACACAGGTGTCCAGAAACTGGTCGTTGCTGTCAACAAGATGGACGACCCTACTGTGGAATGGAGTCAGGCTCGTTTCAAGGAGTGCACGGTCAAGGTCTCGAAGTTCCTGGAGGCCCTCGGTTACAAAAAGGATGATCTTACCTTCATGCCTATCTCCGCTCAAAGGACATTCGGTATCAAGGATCGTGTCCCTAAGGACCTTGCGCCTTGGTACGATGGCCCCTCCCTTTTGGAGTACCTGTCCAACATGAAATTGCCTGAGCGTAAGATCAATGCACCATTCATGATGCCTATTACCGCGAAGTATCGTGACATGGGTACCATGGTGGAAGGTCGCGTTGAATCCGGTGTGGTCAAGAAGAACGGCAATTGTATCATTATGCCCAACCGCACCAAGGTTGAGATCACAGCTCTCTATGGAGAGACTGAGGATGAGATCCCGACAGCCACTTGTGGTGACCAAGTCCGCATGCGTCTTCGTGGTGTGGAAGAAGAGGATCTCCTTCCCGGATTTGTACTTTGCTCTCCTAAGCGTTTGGTGAACTGTGTGTCGAGCTTTGAGGCCAAGATTAGGATCCTCGATCTGAAGAGCATTCTCACTACCGGTTATAACTGTGTTATGCACGTTCACTCAGCTGTTGAAGAGGTTACAATCTCCGCCCTGCTGCACAAGTGCGAGCCTGGTACGGGCCGCAGGAGCAAGCGCCCACCTCCCTTCGCCAGCAAGGGCCAGACTATCATCGCCCGTCTTGATGTCACTAGCACTGCTGGTGCCGTCTGTGTCGAGCGTTTCGAGGACTACAACCAAATGGGACGGTTCACTCTGCGTGATCAGGTAAGCAGCTGTACTATATACTAGTTGACTAAAAAGCTAACCAGTTGGAACTTTAATAGGGACAAACCGTTGCCATTGGTATGATCACCAAGCTCATCAAGACTGAGGAAGAGAACTAAGCATACATAATCACAAATAAAACCGGGCGACTTCTATCTCAGTCTTCTTGACCCTTGGTGGGTTACGGCTGCAATTGAACCGACTACGGTCAGGGAGGTATGGGTGGGCAGAAGGTGGATGAGAAGATCCACAGACTTCTTCTCGGTTGATGATGATGAAATTTTCCTTTCTTATAGATTGTTTTTCCCTGCTGTTTCTTTGCTGGAATGGTAAAAAATTTGCTTGGACGTTTCACGCCGGTTTACATTACATGTAGATATCCACGTATATCCATCAACGCATCAGATCATGAAGTAATACCCATATGGACATGCAGAAAGTATCTATATCTAAACAGCTCATAGCAACCAAAACACGGAACGAAGATAAAAAGAAGGATAAATCACCGCTTCTTCTTTCCAACAACCTTAGTAAACCCATCTTCATCCACCTCGGGTTCAACCTTCTCCTTCGGAGCCCTAACCAAAGCAGGAGCCTCCCCCATATCAACATCTTCCTCATCCTCCTCCTCATCATCATCCTCAGAATCCTGGTCCTCATCCTCGCCCCTCTTAAAAGCCGCCGCAACATTACTAGCCTTCTGCTGACTCTTCGTCTGGTAGTTCTCCCACATCTGCTTAATAGGACCGATATCGCCTTTCGCCACCAACTCCCTCACCTCTATAATCTCAGCCGCAACAGGCACCGCGCTCTCATCGTCAATAACCACGTCAAACTCATCATTCATAACCTGGATGAGCACGTCCTCGAGATCCTCCGCATCCGTCTCCGGCCGATCATTCAGCATGTCAGAAATGGCACCGCAGAGCCAATCGCGCTTATCGGATGACGTTGGGCCGCCCCAGTTCGACTGCACGGCTAGCGTGAGAGCGGGCCAGTTGTGGATTGCGAGCGTAATGCCGAGGTCGAGGTAGGAGGAGTTCGGCTGGTTCTCTTGTTGAGACATTGTGGCGCTTTGTGAGGATTTCCTGTGACTGGTACTTGGGAGAAGTGCTGGCGCGGATTTGATTTCTTAGTGGGGGTGTGGTTTTTGTTGGTTGCGGATTTATATAGTGGGGTTGGATATGCTTCTTGATGTTTGCTGGTGCGCGGTGTGTTAGTTTCCGTTTTTTATTGGTTAGGTATGTTCGCTATGGTGGTATCGGTGGACTGAGGGCTCGTGGGAGTGTGTATGGCCCTGTGAGATGAGCAATGGAGGTTTGGGGTGTTGATGTATAAATCTTTGAATTTTTCGATATCACTAGGAGATTAGATACGATAAGCGGATTGTGGTCATGTGATCACATATATAGTGTCGTTGAGTTGATGATGAATGTTCAGGGGTGTTCGGGATAGAATTGGGAGACTATGATTAGATAAGGAGAGTTAGAGGTACTGTGATCTATTAGAAGAAGAATTATGTGATATTGAAGTTGCCAGGCAGTTGCTGTCAAGTTTAAATGAAAAAAGAGCTCAATCTAAAGCGTGCTGTATATGAAATATATCCTAGTAGATGTGCCACAAAGCTGTAGTTTAAAAACCAGTTATGCTTTCCCGCTCCACATGCAATGAAGAATAACAACACCTGAAGCGCTTTGATGCAGAAATATTTGAATAATACATAGAGAAGAGGGGAAAAAAAATAAGGTACGCCTGGTATATCCAATCTTGTGAGCGCCAAACAAGAGCCGCTTATGTACAGAAGCTAAAAGGAACCCAATCAACTTTCAACGCCACCCATTGCCGTTGAACATGGTATCAAATCAGTCACAAATCACAAAACATGACTTAACATTTCCTGTGCTCTTACTGCTGTGGCGATGTGCCAAGGTAATGTGTTTCGTTGTACAGTGCGGGTACCCCTGGCTCGAGCAAGGGTGCCGAGATCACGGTACATTCCTAGGGTTTCTCGAAGAATTGTTTCGCAGGAAGAAGGTCGTTGGGTATATATAAGGTTAAGGGTCATCGCATATACACCGTCCCCGTCGGTGTCTCCCTTTCGGCGAAGTAGGTAACCGCTAGCCAATGCTGGTCGGTACTCGGTGAGGTGAGGTGAATTGTTGAGGCGATGGGAGAGTACCACGCCCCAGGATTCATCGCATATATCTGTAAGCACGGATTCGGATTCCGCTTCCAGAGTAGGTTCTGTGGGTGTTGAAGCATTTGCAGGCGCATTCCCGCCGCTGGGAGGGGTAGGCGCAGTGCCCCATTGATCCGGCGAGAAGACGTTGCCACTAGCGTTTGGTGTAGCAACGGGTGTTGAGGAGGTCTGTGGATTAAAGACGCTCATAGACATGGGTAAGAACGGAGGCTCAATGTATAGATCGGGAGCAGTATTTACGCTCAATATCGTCAGCTCTAATGGTATGGAGTTTGCCTTGTTATACTGCTCGATAAAACCCGTCCATGCTGTGAATGCAAATCAGCGGAATGCACGTAAGACATTTTGGTGACATCCTTACCATCAACTTCGTCCTGATCGACAGGCTCAGTGCTCACGACGAAAACCTTCCATCGCGCTTGAATTCTATCCACGATGTCCTTTGTCGCCACCCAAATCTCGCTACGCACATCCGAAATGCTCCTAACAGCACTGGCATTTCGGTAGCGTAAATTATAAGAAATTGTACGCTGGAGTGCCCCAGAGTTGTCAGACCAGGCAACACTTATCCAGCGCTGATCTTGACTTTTTGAGTACGCAATATGAAGACATTTGCCTTCTTGCAAGGGTGAGGTTTTCTCAGAGGCGAGTCTAAAGCTGATCGTCCTAGGGAGAGGCTCGGCAAGAAGGACGGGAGGTGCGCAATTCACGAGACTCGACTGTAGTGCTTTGGGAGGGCATCGACTGTAGATTTCCAGTGCCAAGTTCAGGTACTGGGTTTGTGGAGGGACGACCACCGAGCCTGTTGACATTATAAAGCTAATTGGAATGATCTGTAGCACCACTTCATTCAACTGTCGGGCTTGTTGCTTGCCGGTGTCGGTGATATACTTTTGAAACAAACACCAGAAAGCAGAGCATATATCGACGAGCGCCGATGCATGTGCAAACGGATTGATTATGTAGATTACTAGGCTGTCATTGCTCGGAGAACCTTTCAAAAGTGCCGTCCCTGTGAATGTTAGCACATGGTAAATATACTGCTCACCGGATCTCCAACGTACCAAGCTCTTCGCATATTACTTTTAACGACTGCATTGCAGGCAGGAACTGTGCGGTATCCAAAGGACCAACGTCCCAGGGGCAAAGCCCCCATTCAAAGGCACTAGACCTACATCCCCGAACATGTTTTCCAAAGTTACAACTAGCGTAGAGCAACCCTAGACGTTCCAGGAATACATTGGCAGCATCGGCAGCAATTTGAGGATGAATACAATAAGCTGAGATATCCTTTGGGCCGTCGGCTGGTTCCAGGCCGAATGTTTCCCAAAATGAGATTGCAGGAGGCAGAGCTTCCAAGTATTCCTTGCCGCGACGCACGCGTAAATGTGGCGGAGACAGTTTTGTTATTGAACCTTTTCCCGTCTCTTTCCGTTGAGAGGGTTGTCGGGCTACGGTGCCGTTGGGTGCAGGAGAGGCTCGTTCATTGTCCTGTAGGGATATCCAACTATTCAAATCAAGCCTTTCAATGCTGCCCAATACACCTTCCTCTTCGAGGAAACTTTGAACTGAATATGCCTTGGCTTCAAGATCGGAGAGACAGAAGCCTCCATCCAGTTTATGGTCCAAAGAGGACTGTGTGATTTGGTCAACAAATAACTGGGCAATTTGAATTTGCATGTCTTTGCGGGTGAGAACAGGGAATAACCGATTTTCTGCTAATGAGAAATAACCGGTCATTGACCAATCAGAGAAAGTGGATAACAAATTTCCCAGGAATATTGAATGCTCAGGTCTATGGATAGGGATTTCCTGGTCTCCCTCCCCAAGAGACTTCACCTGAGATAAGGCCGGCGAGCTGACGGAGTTAGAACAGGCACGTTTTCGCTTGCGACTTAGCAACGGTGGTGCATCACTTTCCGAGGCACTATTATCACTATCGTCGCTTGTATCGCTGCTAGAATCCGAAACCGTTTGTAGATAATGACCTTCGCTTGATGGACTGGCGTGACCATCTAGGCCCACCGCGCTGGCGCCAGCGGTGGGGTATCTCTTAATGCGCCGGCGAGGCATACCGACAGTTGGAATATCGGAATTTGTGTACGCTTTGGAAGCAGATGGGCCCGCAGTAGTGAATCGGAACTTGCCGTCAGCACCATACTTCTGATCCCAGGCAGACATATTTGGTTTGAATGCAACTGGGTTGTAATAGCTTTGCTTGCGGCTTCCTTTGGTGGGAACATGACTGTCCCCGTTGGGTTCTGGTAACAATATTCTCTTGATTTCCACTGGACTTAAAGGGGGACTTATTGTTTGATTTTGTTCAATATAAGGCGAGGCTGCCTCTGTGATTTCCTCTGCATCCAGGTGCTCATGTTGAACTTTTGGTGTTACCTCATCGGGGCTTGCTTGGGTTACTTCAAGATCTTCTGGTGGTGTTTTCTGAGCTGGGATATCTTCTAATATGGCATCTTCAGAGACGGTAGGATGTGCCTCTGCGGCCTCTAAGTTGGCCATGTCAGGCATCTCTTGAGCGTCATCAGCAGGGTCATCAGTATCCATGGCAGCGAAGCTAGGGTCATCGAAGAAATTGAAATCTGCATCGGTGATTCCTTTGGTGCCAAAGTCTCTTTCATCCATGTCTCCGAAAAGATCATCATCCTCATTAGTGTCGTATAATCCAGATCCTACCGCAAGCCCACCTAACGGGCCAAATCCCGCCGATGGATCAGCGTCTGAGCGATCTTTAGCAGTAAACTGCTCGTAGTACTTTGGCTTGTTTTGGTTTTGTAAGAGGGATGGCACAAGCTCTGGTTCTTCAGCAAATGTGTCTGATGCGCCTGCTAGATTCAACCCCATCACAGCAGCTCCATCTGGTGGTGTCGGATATACGAGACTGATAGTCTGGAGATCAGGATACTCAGAAGCTCGGGATAGGCTTTCTATTCCCTCGAGAATGTCAGTTGTAGCAGAGGATGGTTCAGTGTTCCTTGATTGTTGTTCTGGATGACTAGACGGGGGTTTAGGACTTGTCTCATCATGCTTTGGCTTTTCCACTACACGCCAATTCTCTGCGAAACCCAAAGGATCGCTGACCACAGGGCAAGCACTTTCCATCCATTGTGAGGATCCAGGGGATGCTGACTTTGTTCTCCGAAAGCAATACACAGCAGGCCAGAGGACACGCTTCAAGGGAAGCGTAGATGAGTTATCCTCATTTAGCCGTAAAGTCTCCCCAGCTAACCTGGAGTAAAACGGTTCCCAAATTTCAATTTCTACCCAGGCTGTCTCATCAACAGTATCAATCGGCAGCCCAAAGTTCCTTAGCCAATCTAGCACGTTGGCTTTCCATTGCTTGCGTCCTGCAGCGCCTAAATTATCAGTTCCAATGCCTCCCGTGGATGGATACGGGGATGAGGCATTAGGTGGACCTGGGCTGGTTGATACTAGCCTCGCAACAGAGCCGCTGGGTGATAACCAGATATCAGCTCCGGAAGCTACATCACATACGTCGGATGGACTTTCCCCAGGTCTGCATAGCGGGGCAATGCCATGCTGTGATGTTGTCTGCAAAGACACTGTTAGTTTCCCAGCCGAGGTCAATTGAACTTGGATTGTAGTCAGAGCAGAAATCGAAGAAAGATCATCATTGACTATTCTGGAGGTCTCGTAGTAATCCCTCTCGATGACAGTGAAGAGGGTCCGTGACCCTAGAGGAATCGCACTGCTGCGACGAATCAGTTGAAGATTAAGTGAGCCTGTTATGGCTGAAATGAAAGCTGCGTAGATTGCAACAGAGCTACTATAGCTATCAACCCGTCTCGTGGATGTGGGGGTAGCCTGTGGTCGTTGCGACCCGGTTGAACTCCCTGCGGTCTGAGGATCTGTCGAGAGATTCTTAACTAGCTCACGAGGCATAACACTCCCAGACGCAGATACTATGGTTATACAGTCAACGCACAAGGTACGGAAGAAATTCAAAGGGATTTGAGCGTACAAACCTTTTAACGTCGAAGAGCCGACAATAAGTCTGCTTTGCTCCCCTTTACTTTCGTCTGACCGCAAAGAGGCCACAGACTCAAATTCTGGAGTCGCAGAAAACACCCATAAGCCAAGACGCCTAGGGTAACTCGATACTAAGCAGTCCGAGTTCCTCAATCGCAGCTCTAAGTCCTTGAGGCGACTTAAATGCTTAAGGATGGTGAAACCGTTAGCTGGAGCCTCGGCTGGAAGATTTGTAATGTTGGGATCTTCCGTATATATTCTCCAGTAGATAT